ATATTAGTTATTGAATATATTAAATATATAAATTATATATATATATATTCCCTATGTGCTATAGAGAATCAAAGTTAGACCTGTCTCCACCCTGCTGCCCTAGCATAAGAGATAAAATGAGGATATAAACAAATGTAAAAACATTTATTTATTGACCACATCCTGAACTTTGGAGTGGGACAAACAGGTCATGTCTATGTGCTCTGTCACTGACTAGCTGGGAGACTTGGACAGCACGTATTTTTATATAATGGTAAAGATTTGATATTTTCATCAGTCAGTATGGACTAAGTTAAGCTGCAATAAAAAGCAATCCCCAAATTACAACAAAAGATTTATTTCTATGAAGATGGGCTAAAGGTTCTGCCCCCTATTGTCCTCATTCCAAGACCTAGGTCAATAGAGCAGCCAGCATCTGAAATGTTGATAATCAACACAGCAGTGAGAAAGATAAAGTAGGACCTTGTGACCAGCTCTTCTAGGAAATTCCACCTGAAAGCAATACATGACTTTTGTTCATATTCTTTTGGCCACAGAAAGTCACATGATCAAACCTAATTTCCAGCTGGCAGAGGAAGTGCAGGGAACCTTTTGCAAGAAAAGAAATAACCAGTCACATTCTAAAGTCCTAAAGTACTACATTTCTTTTAGAGTGAATGAGGCAGCAACAAGGAAGCCATGCTACCTGTTATGACCAAGTCATACATAGTATCTAACAAAGGTAACAGCACACGCCAATGAAAGTTTGACTTTATCAAGAGAACTGTGAAATGGCCCAACATCTCTTCCCTAGTCTTATGAAGGTCATTTTGGTTGTTTGCACTTTGCCCAGAATATCTCAAAAAGGAAAAGATTCAATTAAGCAGTGAAGTGGGGGAAGAGTATATTTAACTTCGTATCTTAACCACTCAATCCAATTCCACTTCTCCTTTGAAAGGAAAAATACTTTGCTCACACTTAAGGAGTAACAGAGTTGTCTCAAAACCTAATTTTCATTCTCACTTCCATCACGATTTCATAGCAGTTGAGGGCTCTGACCCTAGTATTGCACAGCAAACATTTGAAGTATGCTAAAAAGAAAGGCTGTCTTTATGCCTTGGCCTCACCCTCTTGCAGGAACCCCAAGGAGAATCCCAAAAGTGCTCAGCAAACACCTGGACCTCGGATTGGTCAGAGAGAACAGGATGGTTCCCAGCCGTCTTCTCCTTCCCTCCCCCCTCGCCACTGCTTCCTGCCTCTTCATGCTAAGGACGCAGCAACTACAGTACCAGTTAGGGAATCATCAACAGAGGGGGAATAACACAGATATGCTTTCACATTATGGTGGCATTTGCCAACGTAAAAATTATTACAACTTTTGCTATAAATTGTTCTGTAAATTTCACAAAATATGCTGAAATTGACATTTCAAGAGCTGAGATCATTTAGATTTATTTAAAAGTTGAGGCCCTTGAGAGTCAGCAAGAGAGAGTCTATTTCTTTATCTAGCTTTCATCTGTGTGGGTCTTGTTTTCTTTTTTCAGTTCCTTGTTTATAATTCATAGGTCACAACGGGCCATATCTGGGCTTTGACCACTTAATCCAGTTTTACCCATCAATTTCTCCTATGTCTCAGGCAGCAAATATAACTTCTCTGAATCTCAATTTTTCTTTTTTTATCAGATCATGCAGCAATCCTGGCCTGTCTTAAAAAGTTGACAGAAAAGCCTGTGATATCTGGAAAGCTCTCTAAAATGCTTTTTTGACATAGATTGGTTCCACAGTCTTTACAGAGCACCAGTCTTAAGGATACTTTTCTCATTACGTCATCCTCTCTTCATATCTACCCAACACACACACACACACATACACACACACACACACACACACACACACACATCCTTTCTCTATTCCATGCTTCGGTCATGTTATACGTCACCAAGGCCATGCTCCCTTGGTTCTTTCCCAGTAGAATGTTCATCAAAATCCATGCTTCTCACCTGAGACCCTTAGAAATTTCTCTTCTAAAACTGCTGCTCTTGTCTGTCACATGCAGATTACGTCTCTTTACATGAGAGACATCCCTGTCAGAGCTGGGATAACCAGAGCACATTTGCCAGCCCTTGGGGTCACGTGGCCATGGTACCTGTGTACTGGGGATTAGTTTCTTAGGTGGCCTCTGAAAGGGCCAGTGTGGCAGGTTACTTCTGCCCCTGTCCTCAGAAAGCCATGTTAAAGCAGAAATCTTTATCAGAAATTAAAGATATCTTTATCTTTTCTAAGTTGTCTTCTCTCTTTCTCCCTCACTGCCCTTCGCACCATACCCCCATGCTCTTGAAATAAAGTGTAAGGAGCAGTTATTATTTCGCTTTTCAATCTAGATTTCACTGGGGCAAAATCTGACCTCAAAATTCCTCTCACACCAGTTGTCCTGGTTTTAATGAAGGCTGCTCCTATATATTCTCAATCGCTCAGTCATGTCCAACTCTTTCCAACCCCATGGGCTGTAGCCCACCAGGCTCCTCTGTCCATGGAGATTCTCCAGGGAAGAATCCAGGCAAGTGAGTTGCCATTTCCTTCTGCTCCTATATATATTGACGATCTAACCCATGGGGCAGGGGAATGCTGTGTTCACTGCCCAGCCAGAGCAAGATCCAATGTTCACCTCCATAGCTCATGTAGAGCTTGTGTCTCCCATTTCATCCCCTAAGGGGAACCACCCTTGCTGGGGTCTCTAACGTATCCACTAAATGTTTACCTGTGAAAGTTCCATGTACTGAAAATGATAACAATTTCTAATGATGCCTAATTATTCGCCTTTCTATAGTTACGTGGTTCCTTCCTTCCTGGGTCAGGGTTTCTTGGACCTCAGCCCTAAAACACAGTTCACTTTTCTGGGAAGTTGCATTTTTCCTTGGCTGTTGCAAACACAATCTCACTGAACAGAGCTGAATTCTGAAAGCTGAGTTTGTGATGTGGATTCTGATGGCTTCACGTTAGTTCAAGTCTCTGAGGACAGGGGCCAATAAACGTGAAAGGGACCCTAGTAGATTGGCATACTTTTCCATTTCCACCAGGATGAAAAACTGCTATAAATTAAGTCTAACCTTAAATGTATAATCTGTCCTTGGGAGGAAGGAAAAAGAAGTGGGGGTGGGGGGGGGACATAGCATCTTCAAGCTCTCGGCATCCCTTACGAGAAAAATTGGTTCTAAGGGTCTCTGATCTTGTGTTTTAGTAAAATAGAACTGCACGGCTGACTGACAGTTCTGATCTAAAGCATTTACGTTTAAGTTTTGATCTCTCTGCTTTTGATTAAAACTAATGAGCTCATTTAATTCAAAATGGGAATCTCTGATAAGAGAAATAAGGTTGATGTGATTGGATTAGAGGGGCAAATTAAACTCTTAGAGCAGAAGTTTGTGCTTATATAGTGTATTAAAAAGCTGTTGGCGTATTATGGCGTGTTAGATGATGAGAAAAATTTCATAGTAATTCATATTTAATCAGAAGAAATGAAAGTACTAAATATAACATGGCTCTGCTTTTCCCTCGAGTGATAAAAAGCTGTACATTTAAAATGACATCAGATCCGTGCTAAGACAAAAAAAAAGAAGAAAATTTTGAGAGAGACACATAAGAAGGGACACTTGTCACTGGTTCCATCAACCCAGAATAGAAATGCCATAAATATAGGAAAATATAGTCAGGTGAAGGCAGGAATGATACAAGCCCCCAACCACAAACAGTAAGGCTTCTCTTATTATCTCACTCTTCTTTCATCAGAGCATCAAATTTAATATTACCCCTTAGAACTATATGGAATATGTTTCATAATTTGAAACTGAAAAGCTTGTTTTGCCTATTTTTTCTTCGTTTTTTAATAGCTATTTTCTCACCTACTTAATTCTTAAATCTCTTTATTACACATATTTCTTGATCTTCATCCTAGAGAAAATTAGTGTTCTTATAGAGCTGCTCAAAATGTTTTGTTGTTGAAATTTTTTAACTTTAGAATAATAAGAAAAACTTTAAAGTATATTTTAGAAGAGCAAAATTGGAGTCTTTTTAGGCTTTAAACCCCCCAAGTTAACTTCTCTTCAGGAAAATACTTAAATGTATAAAATACCATAGAAGCTTATTTCTAAAGAAAATAGATTTGCATTGCCTCCTGACCTGCATAAAGGTGGTTTTAGATCACCAAGAATGAAAACTACCATTTTAAGTTTTATAAGTCAAAACATACTCTGCTTAATCTTAAATACATTGAAAGGGAAAGAGGAGCTGTCTTAAGAGAAGAAACTATGATTTTCTCAGAAGCAAAGAGGTAGAAACACAGAGGATGTTTTCTATTCTGGGCTGGGGATAAGCTGCCACTAGTGACAGCAAGAGCAAGCTGATCTTGGGAGTCGTTTTTGTTTTTGTCCGTATAGCCCATTCTCGGCCCTCTATCTTCAGTCGGTTGAGAAGAATTCAGGCCTCTTATTCCCCATAATGAAGGAAAATAGAAGGGCAAGAACACTGGCAGGGTATGGCTGCCCAGTCTTGGTGGTGTCATGATGCTCAGAACTCCCCAGCAAGCAACAGATCCAAGAAGGAATTTGCAGGGAGAACAAAAAGCAAGTTGTCCTGACTCTGATCAGAAGCATCTCCACCTGAGTCTTGGTTGATCCCATAAATCTCTGGGGTCCTTCTTTTTTGTGACTGTTCTCTCCATGTGCACCAGCCAAGCCTCATGATATGCTACAATTACTATCAGACCCCACTTGGATGGCTGCTGAAACCTAAAAAGACCTGTAAAGCTCTTGCTCGAAACCAGAATGGAGTTTCTTGGGATACATTAATTCTCCTTTTTTATTTTCTGCAAAGTAAACATTTTCTAAATGAGATAAATTGATTACTACGCTCTTAGCACCCATCAGTCATTTATTTTTAGTGAACTCAAGGATTGCACCTGAGCAGTAGCTGAAAGGGGCTATGTAGAGATCTAAATCATGTGTATGTATTTTTATATTCTTCAGTGGAATCAACCAGCCCCAGTCTGCTCACCACTGACAACACCCTTGAGCGTTCCTTTTTCATCCGAATGAAATCTACTCTGACCAAACGCGGCGTGCACATCAAATCATCAGGATATAAGGTAAGCTGGGTTCCAGCAGGGGTGAGACTCCTGTCTTGGGTCCATCCTAGGTCATTTGCCTTGCATGTCCCAGCTGCTTTGGGTCCACATGATCAATACATGTGATTCTGAGCAGCACACAGGGTTCTTAGTTATCTTCCTGTCTCAAGGCAGGGGACTCATTATATCTCACGTTCTCACTTCAGACAGTGCTGGCTCACTAAATGCTTCAACAGAGTGTCTTTTCTTAAAATACATGTTAATAATGCATCAAGTGCTTCAGCACGTGCTAGAAATTCACTTTGATGGAGAAGGTGAGCCAAATTCACATCAGTCCTTAAGATGACTATTCTAGAACTACTACTATAAAAATTCTACTTCTTCCATCTCCCCCTTCCAATTCCCTCTTTCTCTTTAAAGACTGTCCATTTGGAAAAAAAAAAAAAAAAAAACATTTTGGCCATCAAGATTCATACATGTAGATAAGAAAATCAGGTTGGATGTCAGAAATCCTAATTTTGAAATTACAGTGGCTGAACATTCATTCACACCTTAGCATAGATAGGACACTCCACATACAGAAAATATGTTTCACGCAAGAGCAAACACCAAGTCCAGAGTCATAATCTACATTATTTTACCATTCTAAAGTTAAGAATATAAAAGCTCTAATCTTGGGAAATTCCAACATTTCAGTTACCATAGCAACATAAATTAAGACCTATGAAATTCATGAAATGCCTTTGGCAACCTGAATCTTATCAATTTTACAACACGCTAACCAATCTCTCAAACAGTATTTATTATAGGAGGATGGCAAACAAATGGAATTCACTGTGGCTGTCGCCAGTGTGACCTCTTCCCATTGGAGAGTCTAGAGCTTCAGGTAGCCCAGTTCTTGTGGGTCATTTTTCTAGCCTTGCCAGGGATAGTAACAATCATTCTCATCAGGCTTTGAAAACCTTATATAAGTCATATAAGGACAGGAGCAGCTACAGAAAAGTCAGAATCAGACATTTTCTTTGATATTAATTCTTCTCTAAAAAAATAAAGCAGGGGCAAAGCAGGTCTTTCTAGGGACAATCTTTAGATGGGCTGTCCCACAGCCCAAAGGGCACATTGGGAACACCCTTAATTTTTACCAGGGATCGAGGCAAGGGAGAGGTAGGTACTTGAGCAGCACCAAGTGCATTAGCTCCACCTACAGAGCGATTTGTGGTCCTGTGATAAAGGGGTAAGTCGGAGGACAGAAAACAGACTATCTTATCCAATTTTGTATTTTCCTGCCTCACTGAAACACTATGCATTTATTAGTTGTTAATTGTGTAGTCTCAGCCAGTTTGAAATTCTACAGGCAAACTATTAGATGTAGCGATTATTGTCATGTTAATGCTAGAAAGATGCATTATTGGTATGCCAACTTTTCTCCGTGTCAGTTCTTCATCTTTCCCAGTTTGTACTGGTTTGTAGCAGGCATATCCCAGAAGGAAAGAAGGGTGGAAGGGGTGAGGTGTATTTTGTGAAAGCAATATCTAGTATAATTCAGTATCATTAGATAACTTGTTTGAAAACCAACAGAAAATTATTATTACGTTCATACAACAAACTAGAGATTATAAAACTTTGCAGCATCTTAGCTTTGCCACAAAGTGGGAGGTATGGTAAAAATAATAACAACACAGAGAAATAGTTTGAGCTTCAGTCCAGGCAAGAAACTAAGCGGCTTGGGTTCTGTTGGTCTGTCCTGTCATTCGGGCAGCTCAGGCAAGCTGTTTTGCTACATGATCTGAAATTTCTTAAATACTGATAGAATATTCGTTCATTATTTTGACAAATACATAAATATATTTGTGGAGCCTATCTGAGATCCTAAACTCAGCACTGAACGACAGAAAGTCACTGGTAACTGCTAACAAGCAGCAAGGAAAAAGACCACCATTAGTAAATAAATAAAGTGATTGTAGAGGGCAATGAAGGCTAAAACAGTAGCTACCATTTGTGCTCACTACAGTATGCTGAGTGTGAGACAGTTTGTATGTCTTTGCGACTGTCCAGGAAGAAAGTATTTTCATCGCTTCCATTTTACAGATGAAGAAACTAAGCCTCAAGAGGTTAATTACACACCCCAGGTCACACACTGGGAGGGACAAGGCTGGGGTGTTAGCTCTGGCAGCCTGGGTCTACATCCCCTGCACTTAGCCACAAGGCCACACTCTTTTAGGCAAAGAGTAAAGCAAGGTGATGTGAGGGAGTGGCTGACGGGGACCACGTTCGATAGGCTCACTGAAGGCCTCCTTGAGTGACATGTCACCTGTGACAGATGAATGGAAAGAGCCCTCCATGAAAACATAAATAGAAGATGAATGTTTCTGGAGCTCCTCTGGTTTAGGATTAAGACACCTTGCTCTAAGAAGGGAAACAACATATTAAAAATACAACCTTGAACATCCAGGATTAGAAGAGATTTAGAAGCTGTTCCAGTTTCTATCAAATTCTATCATGTTAAAGTGATCATAGTCAAAGATCTCTCCTGGCAAATGTCACACTGCACTTGAAAATATGTGGGTTATTTTCTAATACTTTTGATATTGATCGCTAACATAATTCCACAGTAATAAGAGAACAGACTCTGTATGATTTCAATACTTTTAGACCATGAAACTTCTGCACCTGGTCTTAGGTCTCTGAATACTTTCCAGGGTCTCCTAGTTTATAGTCTAGGGGAACTTGTATCCTACTATTGTGTGAAAATTGTATAAATCTTAATTGTGTCAAGTTGGTTGATAATGCTTTTCAGGTTTACTCTAATCTTCTACTGCTCTGTACCTTCCATTAATTTCTGAGAGTTTCATAGTGAAACGCCAACTAAAAATCTTAGTTTATTGACTTATAACAACTGTAAAACACAGTGGAACTATATGTAACTTTGTTTGTATTTTCCAAGTCCCCTGTTAATGTGTTAACATATTTTCATAATTTACAAAAATAAAAAAGATGAATTATATCGTGTTAAAGTGATCACAGTCCTCTGACAGTACCATCTTTCTCAACGTATCCTGCGAGTCTCCATCCAGTGCTGACTTCCCTCCCCAGCACTGCTCACACGAGAGTTGCTTCATCCACTGTTCCCCCAATAAGATGAATCACCCAGCAGATCCAGCTCTCCCCCTCCTCCTCCACAGTGAACTTCCCTCATTAATTAACCTTGTCTAGAAGTGAGTGGAAGAGCTGATGAGAAGCCGTGACATGACACAGCTGAATAACATCCCTATTTATCTGTTCATTCTCAGTAAATAAATCTAACAGCTTATAAAACATTCAAATAAAACTGGTAATCACCCCCACCACCACACAATAAACACAAATAAAAAGAAACAGCGATGATAATTTCTCCATACTCCCAATATTCTCCCTAATTTATTACCATTGTTTGCTTATTTCTTTCCCCTTAGTTAAAGATTCAAGATGTTAAGCCTTGCTCAGTGCGGGTCACTACATTTTCCTCCATTTCTTCCTATGACCTTGGCATGTGGGCTGTTCTGACTTTCTCCGTAACTCTTCAGTGTCATCATTGTTGTCACTGAGAGTAATAATGGTAACACAAGCACCACTTACTGAAGTGGTGCAGGGACCATGCCATTTTATACTGATTTTACCTAATCCCCACAACTTCATAGAAAAACTTCCTCTGTGCCAGGCATTGTTCAAAGTTTACATTCGCTTATCATGCCTATTTTGCAGGTGGTGAAACTGAGACTTGCAGAGCTTCGATGCTTTGCCCATATTCATTCTTATAGATCTTAAGTAGCTCCTGGGGAGTCAGGATTGATCCGTGCCTTTAGGCTCCAGAGCCCTGTCTGTTCACTGCTCCATTTCAGTGCTTAACATGTGAAGTCCAAAGAAGGGCTCGGCACAAAATGGACCTCAACAAAGGAAAAATAAATGCACATTTTTAAAAGAAAAACCTCTTGCTTGATTAAGACCTTCCCTTGGTATCTCAGCAGATTCCACAGCACCAGTTTACAGAGAATTACCTTTCTTTCTAGGGTATATGATACCCACTCATATAGCCATGGTCAAAAATTCTAGCCAAAGAAGTGCGAACCTGTATCTGCTAAGTCAGGTTGACAGTGGTATATAAACTGGAGTTGCTTCCACACCCCAGGCCTCAGGGAAGTTGCCCTCTCTCCTCCAAAGAAGTTTCCCTGCTGTGAGCTGACATTCCTTGTCTCTGTCTCCATTTGCTGTGTTATCCAACGGCATGAAAGTGTTAGTCACTCAGTCATGTCCAACTCTTTGCGACCCCATGGACTGTAGCCTGCCAGGCTCCTCTGTCCAAGAATTCTCTAGGCAAGAATACTAGAGTGGGTAACCATTCCCTTCTCCAGGGGATCTTCCCCACCCAGGGATCGAACCCAGGTCTCCCACATTGTAGATGGATTCTTTATCATCTGAGCCACCATCTAGACCAGCCACTTTTTAAGCCTTGGGGGCTTCCTTGTTGTTTAAGTCTCACTGTTGGCCATGTATCTTCACATAATGGGCCTCTCCTTTCAGTTGCAGTGCATCAATATTCTACCTCCTTGAGTAGGTCTAGGTCTGGGGGAACTTCCTAGGTATAGGGCAGTAGGGCAAAAGGAGATAATGTAATCAGGGAAATGAGAGAAGGAAGGACTCATGGGGTTGCCTCCTTACCTCCTGTCCCTTGGATGGGACCATTCTATTTTATACTCTATTCTTAAATGCCCACCAGCAGCACTGTCATTTCTAGAGTATTTATCCACATACATGATGATGTCCTACCTCTCAGGGCGTGGTGGAACATCCTGGTCTGAGAAACACAGGCAGATAGAGAATCTCTGTTACGTTAATACTGTGCTGAGAATGACTCCTTGAAAATCCTCAAATTCAGGAGTTTCCACTCTGACACACGCAAACATTACTAACAGGGGATGGGAGAGCTCCAGATACTTAAACAGAAGCAGTTCCCCCATCTGGGATAACTTGGCTATGAATTTGCC